GAGCGAGCAGACGTGGCAGCAGAGGAAGGGGTCGAGGCAAAGCACTAGTCACAGCCAGAGGCCAGTGCTCCCGGTGTCATCCAGCGGTCGTGTCCCCACCAAAACAACCCTGCCGTCATCGATTGGTTGGCTCGGTAGTCTCTTCCTCTTCCCAGGTCACCTCTGACACCTACAGCCAACGGTTGGTGTGTACGTCAGACACAACCGTTAGTTGGCATGGCCCGGGAGCAAGCCCACTGAAATCACGTGTCCTCTACCTGCCCCTGTCCTTTGCTGTTCCCTCACCAAGCGAAGTATCGCATGCTGTGGGCTCAGCCCCACTGTACAGTGAGGAAGAGCTAACAGAGGGCGGTCAGGAACGGGGGGAGACATCCGCCTCTTCAGCAGCCAGGCGAAGAAGTACTGGCGAGGAGAGTGGCTCGGTAGCCGGTCTAGAGACAGGTCTGTCTAATGACCCACACGCAGCCGAGGGGGCTAGTAGTGAGGCGGAGACCCCTAATTGATGATGATGAGGCTGATCGCACTTGGCAGCCTCGTCGTTATCAGGCTATTGCTTCCGCATGATCAGGAGAAGAGGGTGCCAGCTTGGCAGCGAGCAAAACAGTCGGTGGGTTTGCCCAGGAGGCAGCAGGGTCGCAGCAGTGTCAGTGGAGGCAAACGGCCACGGAGTAGAGCACCAGCTCCACTGCAGCCTACCACCACGGCCAGTAGTGGTGCCGATGTGCACGGAGGAAGTAGCAGTCAGCCAGTGAGGAGTAGCGTTGGCAAAGTTTCCTACTCGGCGGTGTGGCAATTTTTCGTCAAGCCGCCCGAGGAAGTAAACGTAGCCGTATGTCGACTATGTGGCCAGAAAGTCAAGCGTAGGCCAGGGGGCCCATGTTGGGACTACAGCGTTGCGTCAGCATATGCAGCGTCGCCATTCGGTGGCCTGGGAAAACCGTGATAAAGATACGGGCGGTTCTGCCTGCCCCAGCCCCCGCTCCATCACCCGCTCCGTTACTTGCTCCCGTCACCCGACGTCAATCGCCCTCTATCAGCCAGTCAAGGCTCCAACACCTCTGCTGAGGGAAGTTGTCGCTCGTTGGCATCTTCCGCTCGTTCAGATGCTCCTTCTCCTGCTACTCCTCTTCACGATTCCGTCAGCAGTCTTTCTTGGAATCCGTTTCCAAGAGACAACAGTTTGCGAGCACGCACACCGACGGTGCAGAAGCTGAACGTCCTCCCTGTCCAAGTTGCTGGTGCTGCAGTCCCTCCCTTTCCAAGTGGTGGACTCAGCACCTTTCCGAGAAATGATGGCTTGTGCCGCGCCACGGTGGAGAGTGCCAAGCCGGCATTTCTTCGCCAAAAAGGCAGTGCCAGCCCTGCATTCACATGTAGAAGAGATGGTGGGCCAGTCTTTGAGCATGTCGGTCTCTGCCAAAGTGCACGGCAGCGCTGACGTGTGGAGCTGTAACTACGGTCAGGGACAGTACATGTCATTTACGGCCCACTGGGGTGAACGTGGTGCCGGCACAGCCGCACCAGCAACTTGGACAGGTCACGCCGCTTTTTGCCTCCACGTTTGCACGTCCTTGGTCCAGCAAAACATGTCCGCCTCTACCACCTCTTCTTCCGCCGTGTCCTCAGCCGCCACCCTTACCTCCCGTGCCAAGTCCCATTACCCATTACGACCGGCATATCACATGTGCAGGGCGCAACGGTGTCACGCTGTGCTGCACCTGGTATGCCTTGGCGAATGTAGTCACACAGGGAGGAACTTCTGAGTGTAATGAACAGAGAAATCGACAGATGGCTGTCTCCGCGCAAACTGAAAATCGGAACCATGTTGACCGACAACGGAAAGAACATGGTGTCTGCTCTGCGTCAAGGAAGGTTGTGTCCATGCGCCATGCATGGCTCACGTGTTCAATCTGGTTGTCAAGCGGTTCCTAAAATCCACCATCCCACTGCAAGACATCCTTAAAATGTCACGTAAACTTTGCATGCATTTCAGCCATTCCTACACCGCAAAGCACACCCTCCTTGAGCTGCAGCGGCAGAACGGAATTCCACAGCATCGCCTGATCTGCGACATTGCAACAAGGTGGAATTCAACCCTACATATGTTAGACCGCCTTTACGACAGCGAAAGGCCATCACCGATTTCCCTGATGTTACAAGCGGATAAAGGTACTCCCCTGTGTAACTTCGATGTCAGCCATTGGCAGCTCATGCGTGACACCTGCCGCTTGCTCAGGCCCTTTGAGGAGGCCACGCTATTCGCGAGTCGGCAGGACTATGGGATGAACGACGTCATTCCTCTGTTGCACGTCCTGGAACAAATGCTGTTAACAATGGCTGGTCAGGGTGCGGTAGACGTGGCGCACAGATCTCAACGCCACATGACCCCTGTGGGCAGGACAGGAAGAAGAGGAGGAGGTAGAGGAGGACATTGGTGCTCAGGAATTATTGAGTGAAATGGGTGGTTTTTCCACTCAGTGGACAGAGTGGAGGAGCAGGAGCATCTGGTAGAGGAGGAGGAGGAGACAGAGGACCCAGACGCACCGTGCAGTATGCTGTGGAGATGGAGGCAGGAGTCCCTCGCATTCCTTGGCACACAAATGGCCCATAGCATGCTCGCGGTTGCTTGCGTAGCAAACAGCCGAATAATAACCATCAGACAGAGGGATGACTTTTGGCTGTCCACCTTGTTGGCCCCTCGCTACCGTTCAAAAATGGTGGCCTTTTTCACACCTGCTGAGAGGGAGGCCAAAATTACGTACTATAAAAACCACCTATGTAGTCAGTTGGTCTCTGCCTTTCTGCGCCAACGTCCATCCTCAGACACTGTGGGCCCTGTGCGCTCGCGTTCCGCTGCCATGGCAGCAGGGGAGGGGTGGGGTGGTAGGAGCAGTGGCAGCTCCACCAGCAGCGGCTGCCTCAGTCTGCAGTCGATGATGAGTAGCTTTCTTCACCAGCGCAGTGGGGAAACTACTAACCAGCCGCAGCAGCAGCAGCATCAGGTGGACCTGGAGCAGGACCTCAAACAACAGGCTTGGGCCTACTTGGACAGCACCCTGCCAACCGAGGTAGACAATCCCCTTGACTACTGTGCAACGAAACTTGACCTTTGGCCCCAACTAGCTGAATTTGCCCTTGAAAGGCTGTCATGCCCGGCCAGTAGCGTGGCATCGGAGCGCGTGTTTAGTGCGGCAGGAGGTATTGTAACTCCGCGGAGGACACGACTGTCCACCCAAAGTGTGGAGAGACTCACGTTTGTGAAAATGAATCAGGCGTGGATTAGTCTGGATTTCAAACCACCAGTTCCTGACACAACTGACTAAATCCGCCATGAATCATGCCCCAAACATATTATTTTTAACATAGGCCTCTGTATGGCCTTCAATTTAAGCTGCTTACGCTTCGCCACTCTGCCATGGGCCCCTGTACCGCCTCCTCTTGCTGCTGCCAGGTCCAGAGTGTGTCATGGGTCCCTGTACGGCCTCCCATTGCTGCTGTCTCCATCGCCACACTCTGCCATGTGCCACTTTCAGGTCTCCTCACACTGCTGGTGGGTTCCATTTTGTCATAGGGTGCTGGCAGATTACGGGCCTCCCATTGCTGCTGCCAGGCCCGTAATCTGCCATGGGCCCCCGTACCGACTCCTCATGCTGCTGCCAGGCCCGTAATCTGTCATGGGCCCCTGTACCGCCTCCTCATGCTGCTGCCAGGTCCAGAGTGTGTCATGGGTCCCTGTACGGCCTCCCATTGCTGCTGTCTCCATCGCCACACTCTGCCATGTGCCACTTTCAGGTCTCCTCACACTGCTGGTGGGTTCCATTTTGTCATAGGGTGCTGGCAGATTACGGGCCTCCCATTGCTGCTGCCAGGCCCGTAATCTGCCATGGGCCCCCGTACCGACTCCTCATGCTGCTGCCAGGCCCGTAATCTGTCATGGGCCCCTGTACCGCCTCCTCATGCTGCTGCCAGGTCCAGAGTGTGTCATGGGTCCCTGTACGGCCTCCCATTGCTGCTGTCTCCATCGCCACACTCTGCCATGTGCCACTTTCAGGTCTCCTCACACTGCTGGTGGGTTCCATTTTGTCATAGGGTGCTGTATGGCCTCCCATTGCTGCTGCCTCCACCGCTACAACTGTGGCTCCACACTCTGGTTTTGGCCCCGTGACTGCCCAAATGAGTGAAGTGTGCGGTGATTCTAAGATCGACGGCACTCATCTGCATGTCATACTGACTGACAGTATTATTTCTCTTCCCCAGCAGACTCCAAGGGCATTTAAATTAAAGGTACAGTGTTCTGCACTAATATAAAGGCTCTCTGAAGCCTAGAAACACCCTTTTTATAAGTTAAATTCGCAGCGAATATATTCGACTCAAATCGAATTTATTCCTTGAATTCGCCGAATCAGCCGAATCGAATTTTTGAATAATTCGCTCATCTCTAATAATAATAATCCCCTAAGGGAATGATATTACCCCTATAATTTACAAGTCCTCCGCTACCACTTTAAGGAGAAGCTTCAAGATAAAGGCTTTCAGCCTACATGCTGGTCTGTAGTGGTCTCTCCACTGAGAATATCAATAATGCTGTATCCCTAACAGCCGCTCTTCTCCAATTACCATAAACCTTTCCTGTCTTGCTATTTATACCTATACTAAAGGTGCCCTTCCTCTAGCAGGGGCAGGGCTGGCATGTTATCCATGCGCCTTCTAAAGCTAAGGTACACACCAAACTATGGGGACATTTAGTGGCCAATCAACAAGTTAGGCCAACGAGCTGCATCTTTGCCTTACCCTACAAAAATATAGCATAAAATATTGCTGGGAGACCAGTATGAGGGAAGTGAGGAGCTCAGCAAAATGGGCAAGATGGGAGGAGGTAATCCATAATAAAATAATCCTAGGTAGAAATTCAGCAGATACCAACATTAAAAAAAAATACAAAAAACCTTTGAATGTCCAAATCATAACTTCTACATTTCTTATTTGATTTTCAAAAGCTGAGAAGTCATCAGAAGATAAGGAATATAATGAGCTTAGGAATCGCCTCCGAATGTATTTTGGGAAACGGAAATGCTTTGTGTTTGATGCTCCAACCGATTCCAGAAAACAACTCAAGGAACTAGAACAGCTAACTGATGATAGACTCAATGAGGATTTTGTGTCTCAGAGCACCCTTTTCTGTGACTACATTTTCAAGAATGCCAAGGCTAAGACAGTAGACATCACAGTCAATGTCACTGGACACCGTAAGTTCATCCAATGCTGAATAATTTTAATCCAATGCATTAAAATGTATTTAAACCCCCAAAACAAAGGGTGGGAATTACTAAAACTGGTGCTCACAGAATTAGGTGCAGCTGTGCATAGAAACCAATCAGCTTCTAACTTCATCTTGTTCAATTACACTTGTTCAAGTACAACCTAGAAGCTAAATGGTATACTATGCACAGCTGCACCACATTCTGTGTGCTCCAGTTTTAGTAAATCTCACCCAATGTGTCATATTGCAGTTTACGGTCAAGATGTGGTGGCTGCATTCGTTTTCTGGTTTTTATTCTGGTATTTTCATCTGGTGATCCTGCTGGTAACTCATTTCCTGTCCTAGTATGACAGTACACACTCATTTCACTGTATCTATGGAGGAGTGCTATAATTTGGAACCCATGCCACCTTGACATCCATATCAGAATTTGATAGGCCAGCCAGTCCTGGACAAATAATCAGTTGCTTGAAATCTGCGCCACTTTGTAGATCATTTGCCTTACAGTGGATTGACTAAGTATAAATTATTTGATGATCTTTTTAAATCCCTTTTCAGACTCACAGGCATTCACAAGCTTCTTTTCTGAGAGAGCCTTAGCGAGTCATTTTGATCTTAGTATAATGACATCTCAATTTCTGAGGTTTAAAGAACACATGTTCCACCTGCACTCTCCCTAAGGAGGTGCTAACCAATTGTCATGGATTTAAAAAGGTAATAAAAGTGAGGATCTACTTTTTTAATGTGGAAAATCTGCATTTTTGCTAGTTTAGATCAGTGTTTCCCAACCCTTTGTTCAGTCAAGACACCCTGGAAAATTCAGCACAATCTCAATGCATCCCGTTCTGAAATGTAAAAAAGCGAAACTACTAGTTTTACATAGTGCAGCAGTATTCACATATGTAGGACATTTGAGGTGATTGATTCTTACAAAACAAATACACCATGAACACTGGTACTGTTATGTATCTGATAGGAGACTGAAAATACAAAGTTAGCCCTTTAGGTATCTCCAACCAAGCACCACTGGAAGTGGATAGTGCTAAGGGACAGGAGGAACACAGATGTAGATGTTGGTGGCAGAACCTTGGGCTGGAGATACAGTCTTGGAAGATCCAGAAAAACATCTGTTCAACAACAGCAGTCCTGTGAAAAGAGCAAACTGAGGATAAAGAGGAACTCCAATTGCAATGCAGATTCAAAAGGCAAAGCCCAATAGCACTCTAAGGGAGCCTGTGACAGGGACAAATAGAGATGACCTGAGCTGATGCTGCTTGCACCCAGAGCCGGCATTTGGTAATAACATGGAGCCAAATCGGGAACAGAAGCATAGTCATATAGGTCATCAGAAAGTGGGCAATGAGGTACAGAATAATAAGTCGGATCAGAGCCAAACTTGGAAACTAGTAAGCAACAGTATTAGTAGACTGTAAGATCAGCTCAAGGGCATGCTGAGTCAGTAGAAGGAATCATATACAAGCAGGGGCGGACTGACAACTCATGGGGCCCCCCGGGCAATAGGGGATCATGGGGCCCCTGTGTCCTTGCCCAGACTCAAAAAAGCCTATGAAAAAGGTACCAGGGGCATCTCATGGGGCCCCCCAATGACCCTGGGCCCTCGAGTTTCCAAATGGTCAGTCCGCCCCTGTATACAAGACACTAACGGAGCAAAAGATATAAATGAAGACCAGTCAGCTCCCCCTGCAGCTGCTGGCTGGCACAGCGGCTCCATCGCTCAGAGAACAGAGCCCTGCTACTGACGGATTACATTAGAGCCTGTGTGTACTACTACATTGTAAGTGTTTTTAACTGCTTTTTATTAAAGGTGACCTGGAATACTGCACTTAGAAGCACTTTCCTGTTTCACCTTCTTCTGCACAGAGTTTGTCTCCGCTCTTTAGAAATGCTGCTCAGTTCCGGTTTCCCTACACACCATCCATCATCACCTGCCATACTTCCACAGCATCGCCCACCGACGCGCCCTAGTACCCACCTTACTAGATTAAAGCATCCCTATAATAGGCCGTCTGATGCCAACATTGACTGTGGATGTGCAGTCATGCACACTTCTGTGCGCAAGCGCACGCTTAACCACAGTTCTATGTGAAGCACTATGTATAGGCTCTTGTTTCCCGAACCAGCCAGCTCACAGGAATTCCCTAACAGGTAGTGACTAGTATTCCAGAATTTCTCTTCCTCCTTTGTTTCTCTCCCTCACCCAGAAAATGTGACTCCAGTGCTGATGGAGAGCCAAACAAGAATGTTGTGCACAATTTTTTGGGCAATTTTTGCCCATTTTGGTAAGGCACCCCCTGTAGAACTCAGACAGCACCTCAGGGTGCCATGGCACCCTCGTTGAAAATGGTTAGTTTGCATTATGATAATAAACAGACCATATCAATTTTATACAGTATGCTATTTGTTCAAATATATGCATTTGTAGGCACTGTCTAAATGGAGATCTGATGTTTTCCTGTTACAATATGTCACATATAGTATATATAGAGTTATATAATGTATATATGCATACTTAGTGTTTCAAATTTCCTCAGGATTGGGGGAGCTGGCTAAGCTTTACACTGAAGCATTAAACTCCTCAAATGTTGTCTGCTTGGAGGAGGTGGTGGTTTCCCTGGCTGAAAAGGAGAACAGAATTGTCATTCAAGAAGCAACAAAGTACTATGAGGACAGGATGAAGACCATGGTGTTGCCCACGGATACACTCAATCAATTCCTGGATGTGAGCAGTCAGTATGAAGATGAAGCTCGAAAGATATTCCTGAAAAGATCGATCAAGGACAAAGATCAGAAATTCCTTCTAGAATTTATGGTGAGTTTTGGTGTTGTGTATAAGTCTGCCAGGTCTTTTCTATAAACCAGAATGGCAAAAACCTGTCAGAAATAAGTCATTGCTCCAGTGACCCGTGTCGTGTCTTCTACCTTCCCTTGTCTAGTACTGCAGCCTCTTTCAGTATCGTCAGCAATAAACGCTTATGGGAGTGATGCCTGTTTCCCTTGCAACTCATTGTGGTTCATTCCTTCAAGCCCTACATCAATGCTGAGTCCTGTAGTAATGTAGGAATCAGAAGAAAGAACCATGGTGCATGGGGGGGGGGGGGGGGGGGGGGGTCAGTCATTCAACACCTCCAGAAGTTTGAAATGCCAAGGACAGTGACTGAAGCTACAAAACTAAAAGAGAGTAGAGGAAGGACACTGTCAAGCTTACCCTTAACGTATGTGGTCATGCACTATAGCTGGCTTCTGTGTTCTTCACCTACAGCAGACCCCTTTTCCTTAAGGCAATCAGACCTGCCAGTACTCCGTTGTCCCAGGACTTATACACAATACTACAGTGCCTGTCTACCACACTGGGGCAGGCACAAACTGAGTACAGCAAACAGGTACTTGCGGTTGACAGACATACTGAGTGGTTCAATGGCAGTCCAGGTACAAGGCAGGCAAGGTTCAGAATAGTCAGAGTCAAATTCGTAGTAGGCCATCAATGAGAGTATCCAAACTGGAAGACAAACAAGAAGCTTGCAGCACATGTTACAAACACAATATCACAAGCATGAGACTGTAGGCTTGGCTGGCTTAAATCAGGTTTGGTCTCCACCCAGAGACTGGCCACATCGGTGGATAGACAGACAGGGAGACTGCATCATAGCCAAAACCAGGATGCTTGAAAAAGACAAGCAGCTGTGATGGATCAGGAGCACTAGACACTCTTGACAGACACACAGGCCACTAAAGAGAATAGCAACTTATTTTGCAGAACAGGTTTGCTGTAAGGGATAAGAAATCTTTAAGTCACATTGGGGCTGACTGAGGCTTTACAACTTTCCTGTTAAGGTCAATGTGCAATAATCCATGGTCAGCAAGCCCCGTGAGGAAGAAGGAAGACCCAAAAAAGCTAATGCAGTGTGGAACTGAGGTCTGTAGTTGGGAGAAAGGCCCGACATTATTATTATTATACAGGATTTATATAATGCCAACAGTTTGCACAGTGATTTACAGTAAGGGGCAGACTGACAACTCATGGGGCCCCTGGGCAATAGGGGATCATGGGGCCTCTGTGTCCTTTCCCAAACTCAAAAAAGCCTATGAAAAAGGTACCAGGGGCATCTCATGGGTCCCCCTACTGACCCTCTGCCCTCGGGCAGGGCCCGAGTTTCCACATGGTCAGTCCGCCCCTGTTTACAGTATAGGAGAAGACAGTATAGTTACAATACAATTCAATACAGGAGGAATCAGAAGGCCATGCTCATTAGAGCTTACAATCTAAGAGGGATGGTCAAGTGATACAAAAGGTCATAACAGTGGAGATGAGCTGATGGAGAATACAGTTGTTAGGTTGAGGTGGGATAGTCTTCTCTGAAGACAAGGGTTTTCAGGAATCGCCTAAAAGTGGAGAGAGTAGAAGATAGCTGGACACATTGGGGTATAGAGTTCCATAGGATGGAAGAGACTCAGGAAAAGTAGGAGGAGATGAGCATGGGAGGAGGTGACAGGAGAGCTAGAGAGCAGGAGGTCTTGGAAGGAACAAAGAGAAAGATTTGGTTGGTATTTTGAGTATAGCACTACCCCCTTTGGAGTTGCTGAAGTTTTTGTTCCCCCTATAGTCCTGCACTGTCAGGCAGCACACATTTCCATATTGAATTGCACTCAGGAGTCAGTAACCAGTCCTTGAGCTTGTTTTTTGTTGTTTTTATTAGGGGAATTTCAACTTACATAGGGTAAAGGGTGTACGGGATGCCCAATGGAACTGAGAAACCGAGGACAACTTCCTGAACTATATACAGTGGTTACAGCAATAAGTCTGTTCTGGAGAGCTAGCCAGCATCTCCTGTAGTATCACTCCAGACCCCAGATGATTCCTCTTCTTTATCAAGCAGTCTGGAGCAATTCCTGAGCAGGGGACACAGTGTCTTCCACATAAATAATGAAACAGTCCTGAGTGGAAGGCTAATCCAGTTTCCACTAGAGTGCCTCCTATCTGGACCAGGGGGTGCAGGTGTACTCACTTAGTCCTTCTCCTGTGCTGCTGTTGGGTTGGTGGCTGCTACCAGGCCTTCTAGCTGGGCTGTTCCTTTCCTGCCACACAGATGGTCCTCTCCCATGGGGGCGGTGAAGTCCTCAGCTTTCAGTCTTCTCAGGTTCTTCTGTCTGGAGGTGAGTCTCTCTCCCATCTGGGCCCCCTCCCATGCTCCTGCTCCTCAGCCTGACATCTTTCTTTTCCACCCGAACTCTCCTCTCCTGCTGAGCAGCCTCAGTTCCTCTTAAAGATTGTCCTGGCCCCTTGCCAAGCCTCCTGTTGGGGATTGGCCACAGTCCTCTAAAAGTACAGACCAACCACTCCTCAGATCCACCACTACCTCTAGAACTTTCTCCAAAGATCTAGAGCAGGGGGAAATTCCAGATGGCTGGTCTGCAGAGCCTCTCAGCTCTGACTGCAATGTGACCCCTGCTAGCTATCACACCCAGACTGCTACTCATCCCTCCTTGCTAACAATTGGAATCTAGCTTCCCCTATCTGACTAGGAGGGTGCTACATGAGACTAGGTTAGTGATGTAGTTAGGGGCAGAGTTGTGGATGGCTTTGTAAGACATGCCCCCTGTTGAGTCAGAGCAAGAGTTCTTAAATAAGAAAACCTCATGCTAACTTCAGATTGGAGAGCTCTAGCTCGGACTCAACAGAAAGTGTATTGGAGCTCTGCAATGAGACCACTGCTTCAACATGGGTCTTTTTCTTCAGTAAACTGGCAGGGGCAGACTTTTTTTTTACTCAGTCTGTGGCTGTTTTTTTGTCAACGCTAAGGCTTTGCACGTCTCTTGTTTTGATGCACCAGGAATACATTTAGCTGATTTAAACTGAAGTTCAGTTGGACAATAAACTTGCCCTGTATTTCCATGGTATTGCATAAACCCATCATTGTTAACATAAAGAGCTACTGCTGAACCCATGTAACCTGTTCCCAACATGTTTCACCACCACTTGTGGCTTCTTTAGGAGTATGTGCATTGCAGTTTGTGAAAAGGTTATGTGGTTAGTGCAATTACTACAAAAAAAGAATCTAATGTTTATCAAAACTTTCCAAGCCACCATGTTGGTGAAAACATCACTGCCCCAATCATTATTGTTTTTTAAAAAAAAAAAAACTTTTCATTTCACCCTTTTTCCTCTCCACAGAAGATTTACATAAACTTGCCCAAACTTACACACTAGCATAATGTCCTGCAGAGGTGTAGAACCCTTTTGGCACTCAGATCATGTCTGTAAGGCTAACTGTCCATTAAAGTCTATGGTTGACCTTAAAGTATACCTAAAGGAAAAAACATATTTTTTTTAGTTTTCGATAGAGTGGAGAGGGATTAGAACACCTGTCAGTTTTTTTGTTACTGTTTGTGCCACCTTTGAGGAGATTCACCCTCTCTATTTGTCCTGTTTACCATTATTATTGAAAATTTAAGTAAAAAAAAAGCCCAGATTTTGGGTTGTCTCTAGAAATATAACAGAGGAGAAATCTTCAAATGGGGTCACTAGTTCTAGTAACCTGAGGGACGCCAAAGGATTCCCTTGATTTGCATGGATTTCCTCTCCCCCTTTCCTGTTTTGGCAATGGGACTGGAAGTGAAGGTAAATCTCCCCAAAGGGACACAGATGGCAAAAAAAAACACAGCAGGGGGTATGTTCAACTTGTCCAAACACAGATCCCAAACACGGGTACCCTGGGGAAAGATGAACATTGTAAAGTTAAGCCTTACATTCATGGTTCTATTAATGTTAGGTAAGCCTGCGAATGAAAAAGGGCTAAATGTTATTTTAGATCTTCATACAAAGAATAAGTAGCGGATAGAACTAGTTAAAATGTTTAACAATGAACTAATGCTTTTGAATTTATATTCTATCAGGAAAGTGTAAAGAGGACGAGAATGGAGTTTAGTGTCATTAATGAGAAGAAGTCTCAGGAGAAGTGCGAGGCTCTTATCAGGAAACATTCTGAGGACTTCGAGACAGCTTTGGCTGAAGGAACATTCTGCATACCTGGAGGACATGGACAGTTCAAGCAGGCCTTACAAGCCATAAAACAAAAATATATTATGGAAGTAGGAAAAGGAATAAAGGTTGGTAGACTTGCTATGTCATTCAAAATAAATTAAGTACGACAATATATTTATGGATTGTAAAATCACAGATCACATTATTTTGTTGGATTGGAAGGACACCAATGTTGCAGCTGCAATCCAATCACAATGTTGGTGCTATTGTTGGCAGTTCGAACGTCCAAAAGATTTCTGAGAGAAAGTCGTCAAAAGTTGCTCCAAAGTTGGCTGACTAGATGTTTCTGAGAACAGTCCCCCATTTAAAGAGACTATCCTAGGAAGTCCCCAGATGTGTTCCATTTTTAAAAAACGGAATCCTCAGCCTGGCCGAATAACTGTAACAAATGAAATCAGCCCCCAGACAATCCAGCACCATTGGTTGCTATGATGCAGGTGGCTACCTGCCAACCAAACAATGATGCTAGCTTGCCGGATTGTGGATCCAGCCCTCACTGAGTTACAGTGACATGACAGTTGCCATGTTATGTGTACTTTGTTTTTTTTTGTAATGAGTTAATGTCTCCAGGAAGTCAAAGGGTTAACTATGCTGGCCAAATATTCCTGGATTTTTAGTGGTAGGGAAGGAACTGCCTCTTGGTCTGTTGGTCTCATGACAAACCTTGTATGGGTAGAGCACTGGAGTTTTACTGAACATGTGATTGCTACCTTGTTTTTAGTGCACCCCTTGGCAGGAACCCATTCAGGGTTCCAGAACATGAACTTATGGATTCAATATTCTAAAGACTTTAAGGATTCTTTCTACTATTTAAA